CCTGTGAAGCCATCTGGTCCTGAGTTTGTTTTTGTTGGAAGGTTTTTGATTACATCTTCAATTTCCTTACTCGTTAATTGTCTGTTCTGATTTAAAAATTCCTTTTTGATGTTATTGTAAATGATTCAGTCTTGGAAGGTTGTATGTTTCAAGGAATTAACCTACTTCTTCTAGATTATCAGTTTTGAATATATAATTGTAGTAGTCTTATGATCCTTTGTATTTTTGTGATATCAGCTGTAATGCCTCCTTTTTCATTTATAATTTTATTTGAGTCCTTGTTCCTTTTTATTTGGTTAGTCTAAAGAAAGACTAGCTTGTTTATCTATTAAAAAACTCTTAGTTTTGTTGATCTTTTCAATTGTCTTTGTAGTCTCTATTTCATTTATTTCTGCTTTCAACTTTATTTCTTGTGCTAACTTTGGACTTTGTTTCAATTTTTTTTATAATCAATATTTTTTACTATGATATTGTGGGGTATAGTTAAGGGTTAGGTATACAAATATGCTTCGTTGAGGCACACTTGTTGATAAGAGGTGTCTCCCCATCCCCAGATAGATATTTACTACCGTTAATCCCATCTCCCTTCCCTTCCCCCCCATAGTTTCCCACCACTGTCAGTCATTTTCTTATAGTATTATGTTGGATGTTCAAGGTCTACTATATGGGTGAGAACATGTGATACTCAGATCTTTGTTTCTGTGAGAGGTCACTCAGAATTATAGACTATAGTTCCATCCAGGTTGCTGTAAAATTCATGATTTTGTTCTTTTTGATGGCTGCATAGTATTCCATCGTGTATATGTACCACATTTTTACTATATTGAATAGGAGGGGTGAGAGTGGGCATCCTTGTCTTGTTCCAGTTTTCATGGGAAATGGTTCCAATTTTTGTCCGTTTAGGAGTATGCTGGCTGTGGGTTTGTTGTAGATGGGTTTTACTATTTTGAGATATGTTCCCCATATGCCTAGATGTTTGAGGGTTTTTATCAAGAAGGGGTATGGATTTTATCGAAAGCTTTTTATGCATCTAATTATATAATCATGCAGTTTTTGTATTGACATCTGTTGATGTATTTAATTACATTTATTGTTTTATGAATGTTGAACAAGCCTTGCATCCCAGGGATGAAGCCTACTTGGTCATGATGGATGATTTTTGAGATGTGTTGTTGAATCCGGTTTGCTAGGATCTTGTTGAGAATTTTAGCATCTATGTTCATCAAAGATATTTGCCTGTAGTTCTCTTTTTTTGTTGAGTCTTTACCTGGCTTGGGTATCAATGTGATGTTAGCTTCATAAAATGATTTGGGGAGAGTTCCATCTTTCTCAATCGCCTAGAATACCTTCAGTAGGATTGCTATCAGCTCCTCTTTAAATGTCTTGTAGAATTCTGCTGGAAAGCCATCTGGTCCAGGACTTTTTTTTGTAGGTAGTTTTCTTATTACATAGTCAATTTCCTTGATTGTTATTGGTCTATTTAGGGTCTCAATTTCTTCTTGTTTCAACCTAGACAGGTTGTATGATGTCAGAAAGTTCTCCATTTCCTTAAGGTTTTCAAGTTTGTTTCCATACAAGTGTACATAGTAGTCTCTGATGATCTTTTGTATTTCTTCAGGGTCAGATGTGACTTCATCTTTTGTGTTTCTGATTGTGTTTATTTGGGCTTTTTCTCTCTTTTTCTTGGTCACTCTAGCTAGGGGACCATCGATCTTGTTTATCCTTTCGAAGAACCAGCTTTTTGTTTCATTGATTTTGTGTATTTTGTTTTTGTTTTCTATGTCCTGGATTTGGGCTTTTATTTTGGTGATCTGGATTCTTCTGCTGAAATTAGGGTTTTTGTGATCTTGCTTTTCCAGCTCCCTTAGGTGGCTTGTTAGGCTGTTAATTTGTTATCCTTTCATGTTCTTCATGTGCATTTGTAGGGATATAAATTCCCCTCTTACTACAGCTTTCATGGCTTCCCAGAGATTTTGGTAAGATGTTTCTTCATTTTCATTTGTTTCCAGGTATCTTTTAATCTCTGTTTTGATTTCATCATTGACCCAGGAGTTGTTTAGCCTCATGCTGTTTAGTGTCCATGTCTTTGTGGGTTTTCGGTGACCTTGTTGGTGTTAATGTTTATTTTTATTCCACTGTGGTCCCAGAAGGTGCATGGTAATACTTTGGTCCTTTTAAATTTGCTTATGCTTGATTTATGACCAAGTATGTGGTCGATCTTAGAATGCGTTCCATGCAGTGATGAATAGAATGTGTATTGTGTGGTCTTTGGATGGAGGGTTCTGTAGGTGTCAGTTAAGTCCATTTGATCAAGAGTCACATTGAGGTTTCTGATCTCATTGCTGATTTTTTGTCCTGATGATCTGTCTAGAGTTGTGAGTGAGGTATTAAAGTCTCCAGCTATGATGGTATTGGAGTCAATATCTTTTTTTAGTTTACCTAGGAGCTGCTTTATGAGAGTTGGTGCTCCTATGTTTGGTGCATGTATATTTAGGATGGATATTTGTTGTTGATGGATTGAACCTTTTATCATTATGTAGTGGCCTTCTGTATCTTTTTAAATTTTCGATAAATAAAGGGTATTTTGTCTGAGATTAAGATTGTGACTCCTCCTTTCTTTGGGGTTCTGTTCGCCTGAAAATTTGTTTCACATCCTCTTACTTTGAGTCTGTAAGTATCCTTTCTAGTGAAGTGAGTCTCTTGAAGGCAATAGATGGTTGCTTCGTGGTATTTTATCTATTTTGCCATTCTGTGTCTTTTCAGTGGTGCATTTAATCCATTCACATTCAAACTAATTATTGAAATATGAGAGTTGATCTGTGTCATAATGTTGTTACAGAGTTGTTATTGTTCTTCCTGTTTGTGTGTTGTCTTTCTTTGGTTTTAGAGTTGGATCATGTGTGTTTTTATTCTTTTGCCTGTACTCTTATGAAGAACGTTGTTGTTCTTTTTTCCTTTTCTTCTGTGTTCAATACTTAAGTGTTTCTTGTAGAGGTGGTCTGGTGGCAGTGTAGGTTCTTAGGGATTGGATATCTGGGAAAGATTTCAATTCTCCCTCACTGATGAAGCTTAGCTTGGCTGGGTAGGTTATTCTCAGTTGAAATTGTTTATCTTTTAGAACTTTGATGATAGGACTCTAAACTCTCCTAGCCTGGAGGGTTTCTGTAGATAAATCTGCTGCTATTCTAATTGGTCTTCCCTGGTATATAGTCTGATCTTTTTCTCTTGCTGCCTTTAGGATTTTTTCTTTTATACCTACTTTGTTCAGGCGAATTATTATGTGTCTGGGAGTTGGTCTTCTCATTTGTTGTCTTGCAGGGGTTCTATGAATCTCTTGTGTTTGGATTTTTTCATCCTTGATGAGATGAGGGAACTTTTCTTGAATGAGTTCATGAAGTGTTTGTTCCAGTGTGGTCTCTGTTTCTCTCTCTGCCTCAGGAAGGCCAATTACTCTTAGTTTCGGTCTCTGGAAGTGATCATTCATCTCTTGTAGGTTTTGTTCTGTCTTTTTGAGCTTCTTTTCTATGTTTTTGACAGTTTGGGTTTGCTCTGTGTTTTGGTCTTCGAGCTCTGAGATTCTTTCTTCTGCTTGGCTAATTCTGCTTTCCATGCTTATTAGTTTGTTATTTATTTCCATCACAGTATTCTTTACTGCTGTTATTTCTGTCATCAGCTCCTTCCTATTTTCCTCTTGTCTCTCCTCATTTTAAAAAATTCTCTCTATTAATGTCTTGATGTCTGGGTTTGTTGTACATGACCAGTCATTCTGGGGGCTCTTCATTGTTTGTGTTCCAGAGTCTGTTTTCTCAGTGTGTGACCTCCCAGGGGTCTGTGTGAGACCTATATTCTTTTTCTGGCTTTTCTTCATTGTGTGGTTTTTTCCTCCCTACTTTTTCCTTCCCTCCATGTCACTGTCTTCTTTAATTCTGTTATTCAGGGGTGAGGGGTTGCTTTTCCTTCTCTTTGTTCAATCTCCTATTCTTCTTTATTTATGCCCTCTTACTTTGTTCAATTCTGGAGTTGCACTGTAGGTTGGGGGTGGTCCTTTTTGCTGTTTTGAGATTTAATTCAGGGGGAGCTGTGATTCAAAATCTATCTGCAGGTCCTGGTATCCACCGACAGGTATATGGATAATCTGAAACCCACTTCCCACTGCCTTGGAATCTGTCCATGCAGTGGGGCTGTAGGTTTACTCCCTGAAATAAAATGAGGTTAGGAGAGGGAAGAGAATGGAGCAGACAGTGAGGGGAAGAATGGGGTGGAGAGAGAGAGAGGAGTAAAGGGGAAAACAGACGAGTGTACCAACAAATGGAGAGAGAGACCTAAACTGAAACAGATAAAAACAATAGACCACAGCTACAGACTAACCAACTCCCTTACAAAAACAACTAAAACATACAATGATGCTAACATACAAGCTAACCAACCACCTTTGTGGTGTGCTCTTCCTCTATACAAAGATATGGTTTACAGGGAGGAGAAAAGAGAAGAAAAGGAAGAGAAAAAAGAAAAGGAACAAAACAGTAGGAATAGAATCAAGTCATTAAACTAACAGAACCAAGTGAGCACACTCTGAGACTTTTTGTTTAAGTCCAGTGTCCTTTCAGCTCTGATTTCTATCTGTCTTCTCAGGCTGGTAAATTTGTTCACAGTTAGGGTCAGTTGCCCCTGGCCTGCTGTGATGGGCTGTTCAGATCACCACTCAAATCTGGCCTTTGTTGTTTTTCAAGCTTGTTTTTCCTGTTTCGGTGTTGTTACCTTGAATTGCCATCAGGTGTGCTAACTCACCACTCCGGATGGTCTTTATCTCAGTTGCTTGCCCCAGATGGGGTGGAGCTGGACAGGAGCCAGGCAGAGGCTGGAGATGGGAGCCTGCCTCAGGGCACAAAGGAGGAGACCCATGGCTGGCAGGACATCATGGTGGCAGCAGAGGTGGCAGCAATCCCAGCAGATCTTACTTGCAGGGGCTTCAAGGTCTGAAGTCGTGGATTTCCTCAGGCATGGGTGGTGTGATGTGCTATGGCTGCCACAGAGGCCATGGAAATGCTGGCGGCTGCTGCATCTGTGGCTGCGTGGCTGTCCAGACTGCCGTGATGCCCCAGCGGTGGCGACGGCTGTGCTCCGTGTGAAAAGCAGGCTGCCGATGATGGGATCCGCAGTCCCCGGGGAGAGAGCCAGAGAGCTTCTGCTTTTCCTTTGCAGAGGGTTTCATAGACCAGGCTGCACCATCGCCATCTTGCCGGAAGTCGTTTCAATATTCTTGAGGTGCAAAGTTTGGTTGGGATCTTCTTTTTAAAGCAATTTTATTTAATTTAAAAATAATGATTGTATCTAGTACAGAGTTCAATCTGATGTTTTAATCCTTGTATACATTGTGGAATGATCAATTAAGGCTAATTGTTTTTATGCAGATATTTATCACTATAAACTTTCCTCTTAGAACTGATTTTACTGTAATCTGTTTTTTCATATTGTGTTTCAATGTTTGTCTACTTGAGATATTTTTTTATTTCACTTTTTGATTTCCCTTTTGATTTCTTTTTTTGACCCATTGCTTTTTCAAGAGTGTGTTGTCAAATTTTCACATATTTGTCAATTTTCCTACTATTATACTATTAAGTTTGAAAATAATACTGGATACAATTTTCATCTTCTAAAATTTGTTAGGACTTGTTTTGTGACCTAACATGGTTCATCTTGGAGAAGGCTCTATGTACACTTTGGGAAAATATATAATTTTCTGCTATTGAGTGGAAAGTTCTAAGTCTGTTGGGTCTCCTTGGTCTGTGGTGTTGCTTAAGTCTGCTGTTTCTTTATTGATTTTCTGTCAGTGTGTTCTATCTGTTATTGTAAATGGGGTATTAAAGCCCCCTACTATTATTGCATTGCTCTCAATTTCTCCCTTTAGGCCTATCAATATTTAGGTGCTTTGGTGTTGGGTATATACATATTTATGATTGTTTTACCTTCCTGTTGAGTTGATCCTTTTATCGTTATGTAATGACCCTCTTTGTATCTAGAGTCAGTTTCTGACTTAGAGTCTACTTTGTCTGATATAACTTTGGCTAGCCCTGCTCTCTTGGTTACCATTTGCATGAAATATATTTTTCCATCTTCTCAGTATCCATCTATCTGGATTTTATGAGGTGACTGGCCTTGTCTGAAACCTTGTGTGACTATGGAGAGGCATATGCATGAAGATCAGTGAAGTTCTAGACAACTTCAAAGAGGACTAGCCCTGGGGTCTGTCTTCAGACATCTCCCTTTCTTCTCCCAGGCAGTGATAGGGGCCTTTGCTGTGCATCTCTGTTTTCTGCTTCTCATTAGCTGAGTATGCATTGCTTACCCTCCAGAGCACTGAAAAGACCAAGAGAGGCATGGTGCAATGTTTGCCTCAAGGAGCTCAAAGCCTGACAGTTGCCAAAGACATTCCAGAACACAGGGTGGACACTTTACTGGTGAGAAGTGTGGTGGTAGAACAGCAGCTTCGCTGCCCAGGCCATGTCTGCCAGGCTGTGCCTGTGAAGCTGGATGGCTGGTAAATCCTGTGCCCAGGAAGTGGTTTGAGTGTGGGAAGAAGTGTGGTGTATTCCCCAGCACATGTATAGAAAGAGGACCTTTAGATGCTGCTTTAAGGCATCTTGATGAATTTTTATTGTTTTTATGTTTTGGCCCTTTGAAAAGTTATTTTTCTTATGCATAGAAATTTAGGCAGCCGGGCTCGATGGCTCAGCCTGTAGTCCCGTGCCTTTGGGAGGCTGAGGTGAGTGGATTGCCTGAGCCCATGGGTTCGAGACCCACCTGGGCAGTGAGACCTCATCTTTACAATAAATCAAAAAATCAGCCAGGTGTGGTAGCACATGCCTGCAATTCTGGCTACTTGGAAGGCTGAGGTGGGAGGATCGCTGGAGCCCAGCAGGTCGAGGCTGCAGTGGCCGGCAGTGGCCACCACACTCCAGTCTGGGCAACAAAATGAGACTCCAACTCAAAAACAAAAAAAAGAAATTTAGGCATGTCCATATAATTTTATCTAAATTAGAGAATTCATCTTTGTATAGAGCCATTTATTTTTAAAAACTTGACTCTATGTACTAAGGCTGATCTCCAGTGGTCTTTTCCATTTTTTTTTTGAGTTGGAGTCTCACTCTGTTGCCCAGACTGGAGTGCAGTGGCTGCTGCCAGTTACTGCAGCATCGACCTTCTGGGCTCCAGTGATCCTTCTGCCTCAGCCTTCCAAGTAGCTGGAATTACAGGCATGCACTACCACGCCCGGCTGATTTTTTGATTTATTGTAGAGATGAGGTCTTGCTGCCCAGGTGGGTCTCGAACCCGCGGGCTCAGGCAGTTCACTCACCTCAGCCTCCCAAAGGTGCAGGATTACAGGCTGAGCCACTGAGCCTGGCTTCCATTTTTTTTTAATGAGAAGAGACGGTTTCTCCTCTCACATGGTGTGTGGGGCTCCTCAGCTGGTGGAAGCGTTTCTGAGTGCAGAGAAGCCACCTCCGTGTGTGCTGAACACACCTTGTGGATCACAGAGATGTCCCGTGTGAGTGGAAGAGTTGGCTCCACAGAGGAGAAAAGTGCCAGTGGTGGCAGTGGCCCAGGTGACCTTGTGGTGGTACTCAGGATATCAGAGGGACTACAACCAGCCCGGCTCACCTGAGGGCTGCATGGATACATGCTGTGGCCATGGTCCTCTGCCTTCCTGTTTGCTCATTCATATGTGAATCCGCCAGGACCTTACTTCATGATTTCCACTGACCTCCCCCAGAGCCAAGGGGACCTTGAGATGTGCAGTGCAGTTTTCTGATTTTACAGATAAACAAAGAAGGAGGTGCTTGAAGTAAAAAGATGCTGGGTTTGGGTCCTGACTTTGCATCTCTTTTGCTTTCTGACCTGGAGAAAGTTAGTGTCACTGAGGCTGCTTTCTCATCTGCAAGCCAGGATCATGTGGCTCTGCCTCCTGGGGTTGTTGGTGAAAGTGAGTGGGGTGATGTATGTAAAGCATTTAATCCAGTGCTAGGTACACAGTAGGTGTTCAATTAGTTATTTCTGCCACTGTCTGATATAGCTGCCCTGTGGCTAGCAGCCAAGTCTCCTGGCTCTCTTCTGAGGGCCTCTTTTCCCTCCAGGAAAAATTAACTAAAGGTTAAACAAGAAGAAAGGATCGTGACCCAGACTGAGACTGCAGGGACAGCATGAGGTGAACTTTGTCCTCCATCTTGTCTCTCTCTGCAGTGCCTTTACCTCCTCTCTTCTATGGGCCAGATTTCCAAAGTGCAAGCAATTTTTTTCCCCTAAGTTTGAAGAGTTTGCAACCGTCACCACAGTCCAGTTTTAGAACACTTCATCACCCCAAAAAGACCCTTAGGACCGATTTTCAGTCATTCCTTTTGCTGCCGCCAACCTTTGGCAACTCTGATCTTTCTATTTCCCTAAATTTACTCCTTTTGGGCAGTTTTTATAAATGGAATAGTCCAATATACATGTTATACTCAATAAAGTGTTGATCAAATGCAAGAAAAGGACTCATCAAAGCTGGACCTTTCTCCACCTTACACGGAACAAAACCTGCCTGGCTTTAACTTTCGCTCCTTCACTTGAGTGGATTAAGTTCTGCTTCCGGCTCCAGAGCTGGGAAACTGGGAGTGAATTCCTGCCCTATGAACTACCTGGGGCCACTCTGAGCATCAAATATGGAAGTACTGTGAAAATGTGTTGTAAACTGAAAATGAGGAGCAGAACAGGAAAGGAATTATTAGAGTTTAGTAGCAATTTATTAGATTTTAGGCATTTATATTTTAAAAAATACATCAACTCTTAAAAACCATGAAAAACTAACTACTTGATATAAAATAACCTGAAAACTAGCTTTGAATCTAGTAGTACAAATTAGAAATGAAATAATTTAAATCAGAATTTGAGTCTCAAGTAATTACTGGTGGAGTCAGTTTCTGTGAGATGGAAGCTGTAAAGTAATTGAGTGAAAATCACTTTGGGGTATTAGGAAATGATAAATGTCTGCTAGTGTTTAATTTTTTACTTGGTTTTGCCATGTTCTTTTTGTATCTTCAAGAGCTCTGTCATGGCACAATTTAAAGATCATAATTTCACTCTTTGGAAGTGTGCAATTAATTTTTTTCCCCTAAATTTGAAGAGTTTGCAACCATCACCACAGTCCAGTTTTAGAACACTCCATCACCCCATAAAGACACTCAGGACCCATTCAGTCATTCCTTTTGCTACCTCCAGCTTTTAGCAACTCTGATCTTTTTGTTTTCCTAAATTTACTGATTCTGGACATTTTCTATAAATGGAATAGTGCAATATACAGTCTTTTATGTTCAGTCTCTTTCACTTAGCCTAGTAGTTTTGGGATTTATCCATTACATAGCATGCATATGTTCCACACTGTACGATGTCCTGTGTTTGTTGATCCATTCACCATGGATGGATATTTGGAGTGTTTCCATCTTTTGTCTACTTTGAATAATGTTGCTATGAACATCCATGCATTATGTGGATGTCTGTTTTCATTCTGTTGGGTAGATTCCTGGTAGAATTGCTGGGTCATGTGACAACTTTATGTTTAGCTTCTTAAAGAAACTGCCAAGCTGGGCTCAGTGGCTCAGCCTGTAATCCCATGCTTTGGGAGGCTGAGGTGAGTGAATTGCCTGAGCCCGTGGGTTCGAGACCCACCTGGGCAACTTGGTGAGACCTCATCTCTACAATAAATCAAAAAATTAGCTGGGCATGGTAGCATGTGCCTGTAGTTTCAGCTACTTGGAAGGCTGAGGTAGAAGGATTGCCGGAGCCCAGCAGGTTGAGGCTGCAGTGACCGGGAGCGGCCACTGCACTCCAGTCTGGGTGACAGAGTGAGACTCCAACTCAAAACAACAACAACAACAACAAAAAAACCTGCCAAATTGTTTTCCACAGTGGCTGGACCATTTTACATTCCCACTAGCATTGTATACAGGTTCCAACTTTGTCTTTTCTTATATTTTGTTTTAGAAATTCCACATCATCTGAATTATAAGTAAACAGAAAAGATGTTTTCATGGTAACATTAAAGTCTTGATTAGATTAAGCATTGGCTGTGTATCATTGGTTTAATAACAATCTCATTGATTGGGAAGAATTGATTTATGTGGTTGAACTAATGACCCAGTTGCCTAGGGAGCATATGGTTAATAATTAAAGACAATTTGCTGCAAGCTTTCTTGTGCAACATACTTTATCCAGTCTTCCACTGTTTTATCAGGGTCATATAATTATTTAGGACATGAAAGCAGCTTCCTTTGGAAGGCAGTCAGGTGATAGCTGCAGGTGCCTGTGGGGTGCCAGACCTTGGAACATCAGGACCCATGACTTATTTCTCATTTTATTAGATATGGTATACAATGGCAGATACAGACAGACACACATGTCCACACAGGCTTTGATGTGTGTTCAGTCCCTCGTGGGCTAGAATTCAGTAATCTCTTGTTTCTTTCCAGATCGTTCACAGGACTTTGGCAGCCATGTTGGGCTCCCTTGCAGCATTATCAGCGCTGGCCGTGATTGGTGATGTGAGTTGTAACTTCTGAACATGGACTTTCTACTTGATGGAGTGTCAGACTTCAAGACGTTCTAGGGGTTAGGTCTCAGCTGGTGTTTTTCCCTGTTATATGCCACTTCAATATTTTTGCCCAAGAATCATGCTAAAGGTGGGAACCAAAAAGCTTCAACCTTGAGAAATCTTTTTATTGGATTTTTTTGAGGCTGTTGTTCTCCATTGCAGCTGAAGATATCCTCCTCACGGTCATACATTTGCCTGGGGCTGTGTGGCTGAGTGGTATTGTGTTGGATCTGGGTATTGTCAGCCCTTGGGAACTAGGAGAGACCATCCCAGCTAAGGCAGCGAGGTGGGGAGGGAGTGCTCAGTCCTGCAGAGATTAGGAGACCCTGGAGATGCATATATGGGTGATGGCAGTCTATCAGGGCCTGAGTATGGCCCATTCCAGCAAGGATGTGGAAAATAAAAAGCCAAATGTTCATGGGGAATGGAGGCCCAGAGTTTGGGGGTCAGTGCTGGAACCAAACTAAGAACCCACCCAAAGGTGGCCACACACACAACTGGATTTGAAAACACCCTCAAGGAATTCAATAGATTGTTCTGAAAACTGCTACTAGAGGCCATTCAATCAACCAAAAAATAATAACTAGTTTTAAAAAAATGTATTGGTATGTGTGTTGAGTTATTTATTTATTTATTTGTTATTATTATTTAAAATTTAAATTTGAAATGTAGGCTCAACCTGAAAGCAGTAGTAAGAACTTGAACTTTTTCTTGGCTAGCGTTGGCTAACCTGAAAGGCAAAATATCTCCAAACCCTAACATACAGGCATAAAGCCACTGTTCTTTTTATTAAGGGGACTGTAGTAGTAGTCTATTTCATTTTGAAGACCATGAATGTGGCACACAGCAGAAGCATGCTGTGGGAGCCCATGGACCATTCACTGTGCAGCCCTTCCCAACAGCCAGATTGTGGCAGGACGGTCACATTGCATTCCCTGTGACCCATGAGGGTGGGAGGCAAATGGGTAGTGGGACAGATGGCTATCCAATTTACTGTCATCTGACCTCATGCCACTATGCTGAAGAAGGCATATATGGATTCCACTGAGAACGTAGCCTCAAGGGCCAGTCCTGTCATTCAGGCTACAGTTCTTCATACAGTTGCCAGGGTCTACAATTTTAAAAAATTACTAAATACATAGGTTTGACATGACAGATGCCTTGAGTCACAAGTGTTTTTTTTTTTTTTTTTTTTAGCAAGGGCATACACCAATTTCCAAGGCAAGTGGATGGTGTGATTTCTAGCCCTGCCCAGGAAGTAGGTTTGCAATGAAGGGCAGCACGTTTTTCAGGCTCAACGCAGGAAGGGTGATGTGCAGGATTAATTGGCAAATGTATGCTTTGATTGCAGAGACCCAGCCTGACTCATGTGGTGGAGTGGATTGATTTTGAAACCCTGGCCCTGCTGTTCGGCATGGTAATTACAGCCTTCCCTGTGGGACGTGGCTCACGTCCTCTGCATTCCAAGTCCTTCTCTTTGGCCACTGCTGGGGCTAATCCTTCATTGTGTGAAAGCCATGGTGCGACCTGACACTGAGGGCTTGATTGAGAATTAGTGCAGGGCTAGTGCATGTCTCCCAGGAGGAGACCCCAGTGCGGAGGTACCTGGAGAATTTCAATCTAAGGCCAGTCTGATGAGGTAACATTGCCAGTTACAAAAGTTACCAATTTTTTGAAAGATTGTCTTTAAAATGAAAACTGGAATATCCCAAAGAAATGAACCATACAAGAGTTTTAGTGACCGAAAAAGTACCTTTTCTTATATGAATAAAGGAAGATATTATCCCTAAGTAATAGTTTGGGCATTTGCTAATTTTGCATATTGTCAGGTGACCATTCTGTGCTGTGTGCACTGAGTGTCTTCAAGTCAACTTATAGGAAGTTTTACATACAAATGTGAGCTAGTGTGGGACATGAGTTACTCGAATCAGTGAAACATGGCAAGAGCCTAGACAGCAGTGGGGACAGTCTGTATGTTCTTGAGCAGACCCCCAACAGTCAGGTGATCTGAAGGAGGGCTCATCCTCTCTGGGCTTGAGAACTACCCCGTGTAAAGCAGGTCACTATACAGCCTCATTTTCCTTGCTAATGTTTTATTCCTCCCAAGGTTGACTGGTCTAATAGGGGGCCCTGGTACTCCAGACTTTAATGGGACCCAGAGTAGTGCTGCCATCCTCAGGCTTCACAGAGGAGCTAATATTAGTGTTGAGTCCTGATAAGTATGTTGGGTTTGGGCATCTGAGTAGAAAAAAGGAGGCATACCAGATATCCAAAAGATAAGCTTTCAAAAAATTTTAAATGAGTGATGTGTTAGTTTGCTTGAACTGCCATAGCAAAGTACCACAGACTGGGTGGCTTAAACAAAAAATGTATTTCCTCACAGTTCTGAAGGCTGGAAGTTCCAGATCAAAGTGCCAGCAGGCTGATTTCTCCTGAGATCGCTTTCCTTAGCTTGTAGATGCCTTCTTCTCCCTGTGTCCTCACGTGTGTTCCTATGTCCTAATTCCTCCTCCTGGAAGGATACCAGTCCTATTGGATGAGGGCCCACCCTGATGACCTCATTTTGACTTAATCAACCACCTCCTTAAAAGCCCTAACTGCAAATACATCCACATTCTGAGATATTGTGAGTTAGGAATTTAACAAGTGAGTTTTAAGGGGAAACAATTTGGCTCATAACAAATGGCTTAAATTGTTTTTTCTCAATTGAATTGGTTTGACATGCACTTGTAGCTTCTATGATTCTGGAACTACACGGGTGCAAGAGAGTCTGTATAATGAACTTCCTGCCTTTTCTGCACCACATCCTGGCAGCTGACCACCCATGGGGCCATTTACCCTAGTCCTGAGTCCAGTCTCTCTTGGGTGATTGTCAGCAAAATTGTGAAACAGCTCCCATGACAGTGTAAGACCACACAGGTCTCCACGCACATCTGTTTACTCATTCACATCTGTGTGAAGCTTCCACTGGGTTGTCAAACCCCATGTTCTACTACTGTGGCCTTTTGGGTGAGGATGAACATCGATGGCCACTTTAGACAGGGTAGATATTTGTACCAAGTCTGAACTGATTTTGGCACATTTTTGTTTTGTGCAGTTCATTTGAAAGACAATATTGGATCTGCTATTTACCAAGTATTTTGATTTACATAATTATATTGAATTTTCACAGCAAACTACAAGGTATAGAACATTCAGAGGTAAGGTGAGAAAACTGATAGATTGAAGGGGTAACTCATTTTTTTACTCAAGGTTGAACTACTCCTAAATGGCAGAATCAGTATTTGAACCTGCATCTTCTCACCTCAAGTTCAACACATGGTTATTGCCAGCTTAGAAGGTGCAATAGAGACTCTTGCAGAAAGTTTAGGCTGGTTGATTGAATTTGGAATAAATAAGACATTCCTTTTCATTGGTGTCAAGGATGGTTGTTTTCACCAACATAAGTGAGTAGGCATTCTAGGCTCACACAGAGCCCAGGATTCACCATTTCGATACAGCTGCTCTTGTCTGCATGTGTTGATCCAGTCTGTGACAAAAATCAGTTTAATTATTTTAGGAAACAAAATTTAACCCAGTTTTAACATCTTAAAACGTTTGTGTGTTGCATGTGTGGACCTTCTGGTGCAGAAGATCATACGTGGGTCTGTCTATCCCTGCTCCTAGCTCTGTGGCTGTGAGCAAGCCACTTTCCTCATCTATAAAACAGCGTAACAGTGACTCCTGATATTGTTGTGAGGGTCAGATGGAATGATACTGCACCTTGGGGGGAAATCCCTGGACAAAAATATAGTTGCAGAACAGCTAGCTAGTGTCTCCATTCTGATGTTAGTACGTGCAGAATGCTAAGAACAATGATCTTTCAGCAGGAGAGTGAGGACCTGAGGGTGCAGTGGCCTTCAGAGGCCTGAGCAAATCTGTAACTGATAACACTGATCTGTTTCCATACTGTATTCTGCAAAGATTCTCCTTGTGTTCTTTTTCTCTTTTTCCCATAGATGATCTTAGTAGCCATATTTTCGGAAACTGGATTTTTTGATTATTGTGCTGTAAAGGTAGGTGTAATATTGCATTTAATAGTTAGTGCTAATGAGTTGTTATATTTGTTTTTCTGACATTATATATTTGGGAAATTAAACTATCCATTAAAGAAATATTTTAAAATTCCATCTTCCTTTTCAAAATTGTTTCTTCAAGGCAGATGTGCTATGTTATCAGACTTTGAGCAGCACGTTCAGCTTCTCAGTAAAGCAATGACAAAGAATCAAGGATGACTGTGCTCAGGTTGAATGTCTGTGTGTTACCTAAGCTGGCTGGTTAGAACTATGTATCAGAAAGTGTTTTGCATACTAGAGTACCTAAATAGTTCAAGCCACCAACTTCTGATTACTTTTTTAGTGAAATAATTTTAAGAACAATTTTCTAAATATTGAACATACACATTTACTTTGTAGCTGGAGCCCTGGGGAAACCCTCTAGCAAGTCTGGTCTCCAGATTTGCCCTGGTCATCCTATCATTAAGGGCTGGCAAGAGGAGCTCATGTCATAGCCTGCCAACACAAAGACTAGTGCCTTTGAGTGGGGGAGGGACTGAGTTCTTTTTAAAAATTATTCAGCAAAACCCTTTATACACTCTGAATGATAGAACCATGCTGTAATTTTTGCCATCTTTGTGCACCATCTTGTACTTGCAGATAGATATCTGGCTTCTTTATCTTAATGCTGTAGTACTAAAAGTATCCCTTCAGTCTCCAAAGATCAGCAGACGCTAGGGTTGCATGGATCCCAGATGCCACAAGCCTGGCTGCCCAACCAAAATCCTAGATGACATTAGAGAGATTGAGGGCCTTCACCTTGTGACAAATTAATCATTACCAGGGCACTGTAATGAGAAGCAGAGAAGAGACGGTGTATGCCAAGGCAGAGTAAAGATGTCCAGGAGCTGAGGGGCAGTGTTTGTTTGGACCCCTATTCCTTGGAGTCGGTAATTAAAAGTAGCCTCTATTCCATGAACCCACTGACATGGCTTGTTTGTCCTGTGTGTGTGTGTCCCAGGCATACCGACTGTCCCGGGGAAGAGTGTGGGCCATGATCATCATGCTGTGTCTCATCGCAGCCGTTCTTTCTGCCTTCTTGGACAATGTCACCACGATGCTCCTCTTCACACCTGTGACCATAAGGTATGCAGAGCACCTCTGCTATTGGTGTCATGGCCTGGCTCCAGACTCCCTCCTCACATCTGTGGCAAGGTGGGCAGCCGTGCCCACAGCTCACTGTGCTCCAGTCCAATGTGTGTGCTTTCTGTAGCTCCACACACAGGCTGTGGGGCAGGGTGGCACACACACCTGTGGGGGAGCGAAAGACATAAGCCTGGCTTTCTTGGAGACTGGAATCTCATGGAAGGATGTCCCAAGCCTCAGGGGTCAGGAGTCCTTGTCCATGTGCTCCCCCATCACCATCTGCTGCCTGGATCAGCTCAGCAGGTCACACAGACCCAGGCTCAGAAGGCTCATGGCGGGGGTCATCATCAGAGGCGTGGAGGGTTGCAGGCCCAGCTGGGCTCACCAGAGTTAGGGACAGGCCTGGGAAGCCTTTGCAGGTTAACTCTGGGAAAGAGCAACTTGGTTCAGTGCAGTTCTGTCTCTTAGTTCTGGTCACGTCAATCATTCAACATCTATTGAGAGCTACCACATGCTGTTTTCCCAGAATGTTCTGACACTTGTGCTTCAGTCCCAGCCCTTGCACAGGCCTTTCTAAGGGTGTGGCCCTGTGCTTATTTCCATCCTGTGTTTTAAAGATAGTTCCCCAGCACATCACCCTCAAGCTCCCAAGCCTGGGTGCTGTCCTGCTTAGACCCATTGTGAGCTAGTCCTAGGGATTAAGAGGGTGAGACAGGTGCCCGTTGAGGGCTCATATGGGCCTGGAACATGACATTTCAGCTGCACAGGTATGAGTTGTGCCACCAAAAATATAAACCTGAGCTGGTGACCTGAGGATTCTGTGAGACGAAAGACCTGCCTGGATGCAAAGCATGAGACACAGAACAAGTTCAGAAGCACCAACAAGGGGCTACTTCCAGGGCTCAGAAGTAATTCAGGAGGGTGCCCATGGTGTTTGAAGAGTGCTGACTCAGAGGAGTGAGTTGGGGTGTGGGTGGGGAGCAGCAGGTTGCAGCCAGTACCCGGTAGCCTGTCTGCTCCTCACTCCAGTGGACAAGAAAGTGTATGGCTGGCTGCGCTCTGAGCTGAGGGCTGGGAGGTGGTGGAAAGGCCTTGCACATGGACAGGTCCTCACCTAAGAAGTGAGCCTAAGGCCTAGTGCTTATGTAGGAGTGGGCACTACAGATGAGCAGATGTGGAGATTATACACTTTCCTTAGGACAGTGTTTCTCAGCTGTGTGCACTGCATCTATGCATGGGTGCTGCCACCTGGGGTCCACTTCCAGGGATGGGTCTTCTGTGAGCCAGACTGTAGGACTTTCAAAGATTCTAAGATAATCTAGTGTGCAGTTATGGCAGAGAACCATGGCTGTGGTGAGTGTGCCCATTCCTGAAGGAAGAAGCCAGGAGTTAGTAGTTAAGGGGAAGAGCATGGGCATGAATAGACCCTAAGACAAAAGAAATAAGACCTAGTTTTCCTTAGATTAATAGAGTGACCATAGTTAATGTTAATCAGCTGTACATTTCAGAATAGCTGAAGAGTATAATTTGAATGTTCCTAGCATAAAGAAGATAAATATTAAATACGTTGTCTATCCAGTTATCCCGGTTTGATGATATGAATGTATCATATTATTTCATGTCCCCTGAAAATATATATCTAGTATTTACCCGGAAAAAATAAATAAACAGAAGAGATGACAACGTGCTTAGGGTCTTGGTACCTGAGAAGGTGAAGACAGTAAGGGTCCAAGCCCGCAGGCTTGGGTCAGCTTTCTGTGCTGCCCCAACCACTAGCTAGGAGGGAGTCTGGTGGTTGGTGTCCATTCACCTGGGCTAAGGCTTGCCCTTCCCTGGGGTGACTGTGCTCCCTCCAGACCTGGGGGTGGGGGGGGAAAGGGGTACACGACTACATCAGTGGTTCAGAGGGTGTGGGTTTACTTTCAGAAGTAGTGCAACTCAGCATCAACTCTAGTTTGAGCATTGTTGCCATGTTCGTGCTTCATCACTGCCCTTCTCACAGTTGTATGTTCATGTACCTCCCTTATAGAAGAAAGTGCCTTAAAGATATTTGGATTGCACATGGGCCATTTATGATATGAATAGTGGGACTGCTTTCATTTTACTCCTTTTATGGCAGATTATGTGAGGTGCTCAACCTCGATCCAAGACAAGTCCTAATTGCAGAAGTGATATTCACAAACATCGGAGGAGCTGCCACTGCCATCGGGGACCCACCAAATGTCATTATTGTTTCCAACCAGGAGTTGAGGAAGATGGTATGTACTAGTATACTAGGGATGTTTCCAATAAAAGCAGTCCTCAATTTACTTAATTCTCTACCCAACATGGATGCTTTGATCTCTTATGTCACCTGTTCATAGTGAGTGCTATTGGTCATCTCAAGAGTAGGATGTTAGGTGATTGATTCTCCAGTTAAGAGTTAACTGACTTGAATTGGCTTCATTCTAATTCTGATAATTTTTTAAAGAAATTATTGGATAACATGATATATTCTGTCATAGTATATTAATTATATTAATAGGAACTGAGATAGGAAGAGATATGAGAATCTCTTCTCAACTATAATAGACAAATTTACTGATGAAAATCTTAAAACTTATTTTTTTAAGGATCAGAAAATGAATGTCTTTAGAACTTCTTTGAAAGCCCCTATAAATATTAATACATAATTTATTTACACTATAATATATAAAAAGTATTAGAGGTGCAAATGGTATTCTACGTGTCTTAAAGGGTTAAAATGAGAACTGTATCATTAGTTTTCATTTATTATTCTTTGGTCATTAGGACTTAATCAAACTCCCTTCTCTGAGGTGTCAGTGAAAATGCTTCCACAGTGGTGTCATTTACTGTAGATGATATGCTTATGTGTGTATATGTCTGTGAAGTGTCTGTTTGTGTATGAAAGCTGTCTTCCATAAAAATATTGAAACCTTTGAGAATTCATGACTTTAAGGTGTTTATGGCCACTTCATGGGACCACCATGTTCTAGAGATTCTTAGTATAACTTGGATGCTTTGGTGAAATTTTACATTGCTGGGTTTCCCTGGGAAACTACCTGGGAGTGTTTTCCTGGTCTTACTGTGTGAGCTGAGTTGTTATGCAGCCATGAGCATGTCACCCTAGAGCACATCAGATAGTAACAGAGCTGGGGACTTGTTCTAGGGACACCTGTCTCCCAGAATGGACCTCATACATATGGGAAAGAATTATTTTTGAAAAAAACCCCAAATTATTATTTTTATTCTACAGTAGCATATTTATTATAGAAAACAGAAATTACACACATATACAGATAAAAACTGTCATAATCCACCATCCATAGATAAATCTTCTACTATTTTGGTGCAAATAGTAACCCAGAATGTTTGTAAGTGAATATATATGAATAAAAAGATAGCATAGCTTCAACTTTTGGCCAAGATGGAGTAACAGGGCTTGGATTCACTGTCTTGACTATGACACTCAAACAAACACAAACAAAACAAACAAAAGATAGTGACAAATCAAAACCAGATAAAATATATGTAACAATATTAATAAAGACATTGGTCATAAGGCAAAAAAGGACAGTGATCCCTGTGAGCTGGGAAAGAACTGAGACAAACTCTTTGGTTGCTCCATCCACTGCCTTGAGAGAGCATTTAGGATGTGGTGCAGAGAGAAGAAACAAGTCAGGTGGAGCCAGCTGGACCTCTGAATTGAGAAGATGAAATTGAGAGTCTGGGGAGACCAAGGCAGCTAGAGTTTGTAGGACAGAGTCCCAGAGAGGACAGAGTTGATTGGAGAGAAAGCCAGAGATCTTCAGAGAGTCCCATTGATTATTCAGTGCAGAATGTTCAGATCAGATCAGAGCATGAATGTAAGAAAACTACTTGAGACGAGGGGAAGAACAACCCAAAATTATTAGAGGGAAGAAAGTGCATGATACATGCAGGGACAAGAAAAATGGTTGTTTCTACCAGGGAGACTGGAACTTCTTGATTGATAGAGTATGTCAGTAGTGCAGGCAGTTATCTCTAAAACTGAACACTGATCTGGTTCTACCTAATGTATCTTAAAATCAAGGCCTCAAAGAATTTAACTTTTTCTAAGTAGTTTTTTTGCATCTCAGAACAAAACTCAAGAATATTTGTAAGGATATCTAACAACACATGGGGCAAAATTCAAAATGTCTGACCTTCAATCAATGATTACCAGACATGTGGAGAAGCAAAAACAAAACAAAACAAAACAAAAAACAAACCTATAACAAGGAGAATATGAACCATTTGAAACCAACCTAGAATAGACGCAGATGACAAGATGTAAGAAGTATTAGTGAGCTATGTGAAAACTTCGAGTTGCCTAGCATGTATGTAATTCTAGTCTCTGAAGGAGATAAGGGGAATAAAAGAAAGACATCTGAAAAAATGGCCTTAAATTCCAACTTTTATAAATAGCATAAACCTAACAGATTCAATAAATTCAATAAAGCCAGAGCACAAGAAACATGAAGAATAGTACACTAAGTTATGTCATGATCAAATTGTTTGAAAGCAATGATAAGAGAAAATCAACAATAAAAAAGACATGCTACATGCAAGGGAAGAAAGAGTGATAATATATTTCTCTTCAGAAACAATGCAAACGTGAAATTAATGGAGCTTTAAAGTACTGAAAGAAAAAAAAAAATCAACTCAGAATACCACACCCAGTGAAAATATCTTTTTCTTATATGCAAAAATAGACTTTTCCTGATATAGAAAAGCTAAAATTATTCATCGTATCAGAATCACATGGTAAGACATACTAAGAAAATCCTTAAAGGCAGAAGGATGACGATACCAAATAGAAACCTGGATCTCCACAAGGGAATAAAGAATACTGGGAAGATAGCTACATGAACAGATTCACATAATTTTTTTCTTATTACTTAAATCACTTCAAGAGATAATTGTTTAAACAGAATGGTAATGTATTAAGTAGATTATAACACATAAGTAAGATGTATGACACCAATAACACAAAGGCTGGAAGAGGAGAAATTATAGTACATCAATGTAAGGTTCTTATACTACGTGTAAATTGGAATAATATCATTTGAAAGTAATCCATGACAAGTTAAAAATGTATACGATAAGCCCTAAAGCAATCAATCAAAGGAAAAAAAGAGTAGAGTAATAGCTAATTGCCAATGAAGAATCTAAAATGGAATCATAAATAATATTCACTTAATGTAATGAAATACAGGAAAAGAAGGAAAGGGAACAAGGAAATAGGCCAAATATAAACACCATAGCTTAGCTTAGCCTACCTTAAATGTGCTCAGAACACTTATATTAGCTTACAGTCAGGTAAAAGCATCTAACACAAAGCCCATTTTCTAATAAAGTTTTTAATAACCCATTGCTATGGTTTCACACCATTGTAAAGTTGAAACTCCTAAGTTGAACCATAGTAAGTTGGGGACTGTCTGTATACTGTGCTCACAAGACACACACTTAAAAATACAAATATATTAAAAGTAAAGGAAGGACAAAATCATCAGAAGAAAGCTAGACTGGCTCTATTAATGTCTGACAAAGTAGAGTGCAGAACACAGACTATTACCACGATCAAAGAACATTTCATAATAATAAATGAGTCAATTCATAAAGAGGACATAATGACAACATTTATGCAACTAATGACAGAGCTTCAAAATACATGAAACTTAAACTGATAGTACTGCAAGGAGCAATAGATAAATATCAGTTATAGTCGAAGAGTTCAGTACATTTTTCACAATAATTGATAGAACAAGCCAACAGAAAATCAGCAAGGATATCGAAAACTTCATCATTATTACCTAACATGGCTTAGTGGACATTTATAGAAAACTCTATGCAGTAATAGAAGAATGTATGTTTTTTCCAAGGGCACACAAAACACTGACCAAAATAGATTCTAAGTTATAAGAAAAATCTCAATACATATAAAAAGGGTCAAGTAATACAAAATATTTTCTCTGGCCATAGTTGTATTAAATTAGGAATTAATAGCCAGGAGATTTGGAAAATTCTCCAATATCTGGAAACAAAATAACACACTTATAAATAATCCAAGGGTCAAAGAAGAAAATGAAATTGAGATTAGAAAGTATTTTTGTATTGGTCAACTCAGGCTGCCAGAACAACATCATAAATGGGGTAGTTTAAACAACAGCAATTTATTTCTCACAGTTTTGGAGGTTGGGAAGTCTAGGATTAAGATGCCACTGGACTTAATTCTCTGGTGAGGGCCCTCTTCCAGGCTTGCAGATGGACATCCTCTCGTTGTGTTCTCTTATGGCAGGGAAGTGGAAGGAAAAGGAGAAGAAGAAGCTCTCTGGGGTCTCTTCTTATATGAGGGAATTAATCTCAGCATGAGGGCCTTTCCCTCTTGACCTCATTAAAACCCAGTCACCTCCCACAGACCTCATCTCCAAATACCACAATATGGGGGGATAGAGCTTTGACATAAAAATTTTGGGGGGACAGTTAATTCCAGAGCAATTTTGAACTGAATTATAGTGAAAACAGAACATATCAAAATCTGTGGGATTCCGCTAAAGCAGGAGTCTGCAAACTTTTTCTAAAAGATCATGTAGTTAATTTTGTAGGCTTGTGTACCAAGTGGTCTCCATTGCCAAGACTCAACTCTACCACTACTGCATGAAAGCAGCCACAGACAACTCATAAACGAGGGAACATGCCTGCAAGTAATACTTCAGGTGAGGGATGTGGCTACTGTATTACATTTAGAGCTGTCCCTGCCCTAAAGCAATATTTAGGGGGAAATTTATACCACTAAACACCATATTAGAAAAGAATTGTCTCAAATCCATGAACTCAGCTTTCATTCTAAGGAGTTAGAAAAAATGTAAATTCAACTAAAAGTAAGCAGAAGAAAGAAAATTATACAGTCCAAATTGATGAACAGAACAATAGAGAAAAATTAATGAAAGCAAAAGCTAGTTCTTTGACAAGACCAATAATATTGATAGGCCTCTGGCCAAGCTGTTGAGAAAAATAACACAGAAGACACAAATTACTAGTATCAAGAATAAATGTGGTTATATCACTGCAAAGCATACAGACATTAAAAATGTTCTTAGGGAATATTATGAACAACTATGTCCATAAATTTGACAACTTGTATTAAAATGAACACTTTTCTTGAAAGACTTGCTCTACTATAAACTTCACTTAAGAAGAACTAGATAACCTGAGTAGCCCTGTATCTATTAAATAA